TCTGGCCGATGGCTGGAGGAGCCGGAGCATCCCTGACAGCAGAGCTGCTCTCCAGCTGCTGGCCTCACTCAAGCTGCTGTTATCAAACCTTTGAATGAACAAATCACAGGTCTATTTACCAAGCTGCCCCCTTGATAACGCTATTTGATCAATTCCAGTATTCTTTTTGATAGGTAATTAAAAAAGCTTTTCCTTAGGTATGGAGTGGATTGAAGCATTAATTACACTTCACGGCCCTAGAGATGCAATTCTTCTGCTATTGTGAAATGTCTATGGCAAACCACAAAAATGCTTGCCTCCATAAAAGAACTGAATAAATGAAAGCAATTTCCTTGAGACCCAGATTTCTCTGCATTTTATAGCTAAAGACTTGAGTTGCCACGACATTAATAAGCTTGTTTTTAGGGCTGAATTTTCTCAATACAAACGTCCATGACCGTAACACAAAGAAATATCTTCTTTGGCTGATAGAGCCAGCAGACTGAATCCATATATTAATATTACTGTTATCACTGAACTGCCACAATGCACTCGGCATCCAGTTGCACAAAAAAAGATCAGTTAAATTAAAGATCCTCACCAAGCAGCGACAATTTTGTGTAAAAGCCAATTTAGCCATTATGGAAGCTGCAGGATCATATTAACTTTTCTCTAAAGTATGCATAATGCATGACAGCAAGTGGTTTTGACAAGTGCCTGAGTGTGTGTGTCTGCGTGTGTGGATGTGTCCTGCATGTAAAGAAACCCCTGAAGTTATTTAAGTTGCAAAGTCAAGTGATAGAAAGGTAGCAAATGCTGGATTTACAGGTATTGCACCTGTTTAATTCAACCCCTTGCTAGCCAGCCTGTGCATCAAAAAGAACAGGGGAATTGATATTATCCTGAGAGACAATGCTTATGTCTGAAAGCATCTGGTTAGCTGGCACTTCCCAATTTTCCAGCATTCTACACTGTAAAACAAACAGCTTTTGTAAGTTTGGGGGCTTTACCCCTGCCTTTGAATGACATTCCCTAAGGTTTTGGACTTTTTTCTACTTTCTTTAACTTTGATAAAGTCGAAATCTACTGTCACGTGGGGCTTTAGCACCTCTGCCTTCATGCATGACTGGGAAGGATTGGGTCTGATCCTTTGTTACTGGAGCAGGGGCTGATATTTTGTGCTAGAGCTGGCAGCAGTGGAGGCTGCTATTCCCCCAAAAGGGCAGGAGGATGAATTCTGCCAGCCTGTTGTAGCCACACAGGCAAACCTGTTCTCTGCTCAGTGCCTGCAGGGGTTGAGGTGGCTGCCCCTGGGAAGTGCAGGATCTCCACCAAAACCCCAGCTCTGTTCGTCCAGGTCTGGTTTTGACTATTCAGTGAAACATTGTCCCTTTGACATCATGGTAAGAAAGGCATGGACAGAGCCCAGCAGATTCTGCAGCATTCCCAGGGACAGGATTCAGGACAATTCTACTCCTACACAAATTGTGAGGGATTAACTGACACGAATACAAGTTCTTGTGCTTTCCTGCACACAAGGTTCATTGGCATCAGTAGATCATTTTCACTTACTGCTCAGGTTTTTTTCAATTACAGCACTCATTTTATATATGGAAGAACATATGTGGAAATTGCTCCAATAGCACTTTACCATCAAATAACACTTTTCCTGGAGAACTACAGAGCAAGCTCTAGCTTAGCCTTGTGCTTGAAAAACAAAAATAACCTGTTCCTTACAAGAAAATCTTCTCTTTCTTTCATTGCACAGAAGATACAGGGTGTGTTAGTGAGGGCTAGAAGTCCTACTAATACTTTATTGCTGGGAACAGAAATCAGGACATTAAAAATTCTGAGCTCCCTACCACATATTTTCTACTGTGGTATAGCCCTTGAAAAACTTCAAATATTACATTATTTATACATCTCTGATAGCTATTTTAAAATCTCTGATATTGAGAAGAAAAAGTTGAGGTATATTTATCATACCTTGCTAGAATCAAACTGTAATTTTGTAATTACTGTGTGATTTGTAATCACAAGCAAGCAGTTTACTGCCATTGCCTCTATTTGGCACACAAACACAACATGCACAAAATTTGCTCTTGTCTCCTGTACCAACAGAATTTCTTATCCTAAAGAAAAGGTTTCTGAGGTAAAATGAGTATCTGCAGTGGCAGCAGAAGGTAGGAAAGCGGAACAAAATGTGAGAAAAGCATCTCTAGGGCAGGAGTACCCACCCAGGCTTGAGACTTGGCTGCAGAGAAGGACAGGGAGGTGACTCCAATTTAGGAGCCTTCATGGTCACACTGGCTGACTGTGCACCTCTGTAGTACAACATATTTTTAAATTTGCTGCATGAGGATGAAAATACCTCCTGAAAAGCAATTAAACTGCCAAATGTTTATGAATCTATGCTTGTAGATGGAACAGAATGCTTATTCTATCAGAATAAGAGAGTGGACAACAGTAAGAGGGGGATTCAAATGAACTAAAATACAATATTTCTCATCAAGCTTAGAATATTACAAGTCCTGAGCTTGCATACTGTAATAATGTTTACTTTCATAAATTTTGCCTGTGCAATGTAGACCTTAGCATAAATTCTCCCAGTTCATATCTTTAATACTGATTTGTGAAAACACATAGACTGAATATTTTAAATGGAAGCCAGAATGGGGAGAAAGCAGAGTTTAATACTTTGGGAATGCAAATTCAGATAAGTGTTTTTATTCACAGGCTGGCCATGGACTTCATACATGGCCTTGGACATTGATTCTACGTTGCTTCTCAATTTAGAAATGAAAAGCCCTTCCTTAACAGTTCTGGGAATGACATGAACACAAATCACAAGGAAACTGAGAAGTGAGAGATGGAGAGATGAGATCACTGGGCAAGTCATCACACAGATAAGCTGGACAAGAGTGGTATTGCAAAGCCTGTCTCAAGCTCGTGGAGGTTCAGCTCTCACTTCAATTAGAGCAGAGTGTTTAAACCAAACAGTCAAGCTCAGCTTTGGCACACATCCTTCTTATGCTGGGGGCTGCAGAGCTGGATGGGCATCTCCAGAGCAGCTCCAGGTGGGGTCTCACAAGAGTGGAGCAGAGAGCAGAATCCCCTCCCTCCCCTGCTGCCCATGGTGGACACATTTGCTTTTCTGGACTGGGCCATGTTGACCTCCAACACTCCCATGTCCTCCTCCTCAGGGCTGCTCTCATTCCATCTAAGTGGGAAAAAGTCTTCTTGTACAAAGACCTTCTACCTTCTCCACTTTCACTCCTTTTCCATAGCAAATTCAGTCTGAAGGGTTCTCCTGTGACTCATAAGCACCTAGAGGCAAGTGCATCAATTTCAGCATCTAGATCTAACTAGAACCACCTCAGAAGTGTCAAAACATGACAAAGAAGGAAGTTCTCCCAGTAACACAGATATTTAATCACGTGGCATGGCCTGATGAGATACCCACAATGAGAGTGTCAAAAATCTTATCTGAATGACTCATCAGAGCTTCTAAGTAAAACTGTGGGAGAGCATAACCTGAAGTGAAACATCACTACATTGCAAATGGCCTCATGCCTCTGACAGCTGCTAAGCTGGATTCAAGCTCTGCAGCCTTTGCTTTTGCATTTCCTAGCGGAACACATCTCATTTATCCTCATCCCCCACAGCAGCAAATAACAGCCAGGTCAAACACCACCGACCTTCATTTGGGAAACTTCACTTTGACTTTAGGGTCTCTGGGCCAGATCTGATGCACAACTCATATTTGCATAACTACAGACTCCTTTTTCCCCAGCATAATTCCATGATGGATTTTTATGACACGTCAAGAGAGGAGAGATGAGAGCATTGAACAAGTCAGTGTTACTTGCATCCAACATGGTATCAGGGCAGTAGATTGTTTTCTCTTTGCCACTTCTGTTACCTGAGTTTTCTTTTCTGTAGCAAGGGTTTGAGAAAACAAACGCTGAGTCAATACTTCTGAGATCAGTTTAATATCTAACACAGATAATGAAATTTGTACTTAAGCTGAAGTTTTGTTTTTGGCAGCTTGAACTGCCTAAAATCCTAATTCAGTTGCAATCTACTCACAGAGCACAGCTGTTTAGCTTGGCTACACTTTTCTCACCACTTAATAAGATACTTTTTTATTTAACTTTCAGTTCTGCCTAGGAGCCCCAGTGGGTCTTTTAAAACAGAAGATTATTATTAGAAATTAATTAAGTATTCTTTTCAATTCTGTCTCCTGAGAGCAACTAGGCATTGTTGCTGATCTCCTCTGCATTAAGACATCACTGATTGTCATTCATGGGATGACAGTGTGGATGTCTCATCTGGAAAATATATAACTCCATAAATATGAAAGATTTGAAAGTTATTTAATACAAAATATAATAAATCAGTGCAAATAATAAACATGTAATTGCAATGTCAAGCATAGCACAGGCGTGTGAAGACTATAAACACTGGAATAAAAATAGACACACATTCCAAAGACAAAAAAATATCTCACTGCAATTACAGGACCCCGATGGATTGCACTTAGCCCATGTTTCAGCACACTGCAAACCCTGATTAAACAATTCTAAGAATATCAAATGCAATTAAAAACAATTGATTTGATAAGCTGGGGTTATTTTTAAGGAACCAGTGACTATAAAGTGTTTGTTGCACTGCCCCCCTCCCACTGCACGTGACTACAAGAAGCACAGACTAAATCTGCCACCTCTGAAGGCTTTTTCTAAATGAACCAAACCCATATCCTGATGTAATTTTTGATCTGAGGCCTTGAACATGCATATTAATGTACTACTGACAGAATTAGCTATGCATTTAATATGCATTAACTTTGTTCTTTAGATGGCAGTTGGCCTATTTCATTTTCACTCAGCTCAGGGGTATCTGTACAAGTATCTGCTGCCATATTCCAGCCAGGAAGGGATATGAAGAGAAAAATGCCACCATGGGTCAGCAGAACAACGATCAATCCCTTACTCCAAATAATAATGCAGAATTCAACTTACTTTTTTGGTCTGTAGTCAGGGATGGACCTGTCCAGTGATATCCTGTCGCTGAGCTGGGCATTGTAACCATATTCTTCATACTTAGTCTCTGATTCATGGCTATCATCTCTCAGGGTAGCAGCCATTCCCCCCTGGCCCAAGCCTCCTGGACCTTCAACTAATCCCATGGGCTTTGCCAAACCTAAATGAAACAGATGAAAAAACCAATCAAATTATTAATGTAAAGGATATGGACAGAACTGCTGTGATCACAGAACGTTTTCAGATAAATGAGATCTGAACTCCCAGGAAGCTCAGCTCACAAACCCTCATGGCTCTGTGGAAATTATCCTCAGCTTTCCAAACCAAAGTCCAAATCAACACATCTTGTAGTATCTGTGCATAATGAGCAAACTATAAAGAATCAATTAGCAGCTTTCACGATTCTTTTTTTTTCCAAAATGCCTCATTATTGTTAAGATAATTAAGAAAAAATTTTCCCCATTAGAACTGGAGGGTTTCCCTGTGTAGCCCATTAAAGCTTCACTCATTTTAAGGGAGAGATGTTGAATTTCAGCCATATGTGGGTGTGCCAGTTTAACTCCACATTAAGGTCTGTTCTGGTACCTCCTCTGTGACTCCAAGATGACTGCAGCTCTGGTCAAGGTTTGTTTCCCTTGCTGGGGACACAGCTATGGACTGGTCACCAGCTTCTGCTGGGCAGGAAATACAGGATAAATCTGATTTCACTGCCTGAGTCAACAGATGGGTCATTTGGACTCTACACAGTCTGCCCAGCCTGTTGCCACAAAGATGTGCTAAAACTGTTTTGATGGAGCTGACAGTCCACCTGGGAATCACTCCAGATTTCCTCTGCACTTCACATCTGACAAATGAAATATGTAAGCTACTCAGCTCTGTACAGCCCACAGCAGCAGAAAGTTTGGACACTCACTAAGTGCTGAGAAATCAGCCAGTCAACAATGCATTTACAGGTTTCATTCACTGGTCAACTCAAAAATAAAAGTAAACCAAAACTAAACCAACATAAAAAATGCCCATATGATCACATTGCCAAGAGCCTCTTCCATGGCAACAGGCATTTAATTTGGTGCTGAATCCTCATAAATAAGCTCCTCAAATATCCTGTGTTTAATGTCAAAGCTTTCCTTTCCAAAAGCCTGGCTATCAACAAGTCATTATAAGTGACTAAGTTACTTATAATAATCCTGGGAACACCATACAGGAATGTGTGAATATCCCCCAAATCATTTACGACACCAAGTAAAGCAATTAGAGTTTGACCTGCTCAACATTTTTCAAATCAAGACTTTTTCAAGAGCAAAATGTCATTATTTCAACTAAATGATTAAAAGGAAAGGAAGAAACTGTCAGCATTTGGTAGCAACAAACACCTATGGCAGTAGAAACGTGGGACTGGCTTATTCAAGTCACATTAAGGAGGGCAGTTCAGGAATTCTCTTGCACCTCACTGCTAACAATGTCCTTACTTGAGAGAGCTCCATCATCATCCCTGTTTAGTGACAGGACAGACCAGAGAGACAGTGGCCTGTCACTGATCTGAAAGAGTAAAATTTTGCATTTTCTCCTGCAGTGTTTATGACAAAATCCTGTGCCAAGGCAACCTGCAACAATACAAACAGTCACAAATGAACATAAAGGGCTGAGTACCTGCAGTACTCAGGAATTCTGCTACTGAATTTCAGACACTGCTGACAAAAATACATAAATACTGCAATCAGTGGTCCTGAGTCAGGACAGACCTTGCTTGTGTTTGTGTCTTTGATGCCATCATGCTCCTCACCACCATGCACTGAAACACGACTAAAACTCAAGACTAGTCTAGATTTCAAACTAGAGAAATGCTTCTAGATTATTAATCCATGTTCAATAATTCTGAAAATATTTTAGGGAGCTTTATTTTGAAGAAAATAGTAACATTTGTCCTTTTTGTTCCAATTTAGGATGAGAGGCTACTTGGCACTTTGACTTTCCTTTGGAAAAATTAGAACAGAGGGCCCTCCACACCTGGCCTGACAATGATTCCTTGCTTGAGTAATTACAGAAATTAAATGTCTGAGACTCTACAGCTCTCTCCACCCAAAAGTAAAAACACAGCAGCCTAATCTTCCTGCATGATACAGTCTTAGACTTAACAGACACCACCAGCAGTGATGCTGCAAGCTCTGCTTAACATGTCCAATATATAGAATCTTAAAGGGGGCTCAATTTCTGAGAAAAGTCAGCAGTTCCCACCAAAAAAAAAAAAAAAAATCATATTAGGCACTTTAAAAGTCAAAACCCCAGAAAATTTGACAAAGCCTATGTCCTTGAAAGACCATAATGTGGAAATTCATTTGATGATCATTGGGAATCATCTGGTCTAGGTTCTGATATAACATCAAAGCAAATTGAAGATGACTTCATTAAAATTAACTGACCTGCTTTGATGAAAGGGTTTCCAAGATGTGGCGTGCTCATTTGACTTGAAGCAACAATTTAATTCCAGTAGTTGCAAACTTTATTCTTCATACTATATGCTCTTGCAGTTTATGGAACAGAACACTTGAGTCTTTATGGGACAAATAATGTGAGAATGAAACTTCCAACCCACAGGAAGCATCAAGCACTCGGCTATTTTACTTCTGAGAGAATCAGTAAGACAGCCTGCCAAACCATGCATGATGACAATTATTTCATATCCCTTTCTCTAAATCTGATATTCTAGCTCTTTGTGCTGCTAATCTGATTTTGTTCTGGGAAGGAGTCATCATTTGTCCCACTTCCTCTCAGAGCATATTGTTGTGAGCTTTTTTCTCCATTCCTTACCCAAATTGTAGCTTAGTCTGACTGACAGCTGTCCCAGTAATGCAGTAACACTGACCAATACACAGCAGCAATTAAATAAATGATATCACATTGCTTCCTTCCTCAAGAAGAGCACTAAAGTGTCTCTAGAAGTTCTTAGGAACAATGAATATACTGTATTTTATATATGTGCATGTGTTTAGATGCAGCAATTACAGGCAATGTTCCTCAATGCATGGCTGGTTAGCCAGACAGTGTCTCACATATTTGCATTGCATTTTCCATCTCAAAGTTGATTTGCTGTTGCTCCAGCAATTGACTCCTCAACAGAGAGCTTTCTCCCATCACTAAGTCAAGATGATGACTTGCTAACCCCTAAATCCACAGTGATTTCATTGGTCAGCCTTTTTAAAATAAAAAAATAAAAAATAACACAGACAGAAAAGGAATTTCAGTTCAGCAGCAGCCTCACAAAAATAGGTTGGTATTAAGAGATGGGATCAGGGACAGGTGATGGGATGAGCATCTCCCAGTCTGGCTGCTGGTGAACACCTTCCAGCACATCCTCCAGGCCCTCATCTGAGAGCACTTCTCTGTTTTCTTCTTGTTTTGAAGCTTATTGCAGACTTCCAGCTCCCTCTCTTATCTTTGGATTACCTGCAGCCCTACCTCACACCCATTTTTCCATGGCATGAGAAGCCAATGAGGGCAAGGCACACAGCCAGAGACAAGGATTGAGATGATGGGGCCAGCTCTGAAATGGGGATGTGCAGAAAGGGGATGCCCAGTGAGCATCAATTTTTAAAGCCGTCCTTTCTTTAAATTTTCTAGACTAAAAATATCTGCAGCTGATACACTGGGAATGGTCATAGACTGTTCTGTGCTGCAGATGACAACGAGGTCACAAATAATTAGTGTCTGTCATTCATTTCAAATTTATTGCTCTCACTGCAGAGATTTCTGTGTAGGACAGAAATTCTTGGGAGAATGGAGAGCAGAACAAACCAGCCTTGGTTCCTTAACCAGATTAATTACTCCACAGGATGCATAATTTTCTAGGAAGAAAAGAGATCTTCTATTTTTCATCATAAACCCTGTCACAATGGGAAAAGTAATAAGGAGATTTATATGAGAAACTATGGCAAAAGCTAGATCAGATTATTTTACTATCATTTTTTCTTATTTGCAACACAATTACAGGCAGCTGTAAATCAGGTTCAGCCAAGGTTCTCATACAAAATTAAACCTCTGACAAATCAAAATAAAAATAAGTTATTGAAAATAATAATAGAATGTCAGAACACTGACAGAATTGCTGCAAAATCTCCAAAGTGCCCTTGCTGGCCTGTCTCAGCCCCAGCTTGAGAAGGGCTCCAAAGCCAGACTTCTGAGCTTTATCTACACTTAGATCATCTGCACATTTGAATAGCTACAGCAAAGTATTTCAGTTTCTAGCACCTTAAAAGGAGGATATAAAAAAAAAACTGGCATAGGTCAAAATACCTGACATACTCACCCAGCAATTCTACCTGTGACTCCTGAAACACTTCTGTCTTTTAAACAGGAAACATAAAACTCATCAGCAAAACAGTTGTTTCCTTCCTTTTCCAATTATTATTTCTCAGCTGCAAATATCACTGCATACCATGTAAGGCAATAAAAGTCTTTTGATCCTAGCTTAACAAAAAAAAAAGGGAATCAAGGACAATAGCAACTCCACATAGATTGACAAAGCTGACTTTTAGCATTTCCAGTTACAGATTTGCCAAGAAAAGAACAAGGTTCAGACATTCTGGAATAGGTTCAGTAACAGCTTAAACAAGACTCAGCTTACAATGTCTTTTTAAGCTATTTTTACTTAAACCCACCTGTTTAGAGGTGGGAATCAGAGCAGTTGCAACTATTGAATCAGTTTTAATGCTTCCACCTTGAATTACTGTATTGTGCTAATTTTGTAATCTTGTTCTGTTGCAGCTAGAAGCTTCAGCTGAAGGCTACAGCCTCAATGGATGGCATATCTGGAGGCATGGAGTGAAGCATTGATCTTCCTGCTGCAGGAACTACATGTCAGAGTGAAGCAGAGGCACAAGAAAAGCAGCTGGAGCTGGTTGGAAAAGGAGAAGGAAAAGCTCAATAGTGAGCCATTCAGCACTAAGCTAAAGGTCTCAGCTCAGCAGCTGTTTATAACTTCAATTTAGTGATCCCTAAAAATAACTATTAGCTAATAATTTCTGAAAGAACACACTCACACCAGAGAAAGGCTTGCCCATGTGAGCAGCCCCTTGTCTCTCACACACACTCAGCACAGCCCCACAGACATAAATTCAGGGAATGCATTGGCAGTTCACTGCACCAATATTAAATTTGCAAAAG